ACTTTCTCGTGTATCTACACGCTGCTCCTGGACTACACCCTGTCACAGCCTCTTCTTCATTACGTGCGCCTGTCACATCTGTCACAGCCTCTTCTTCATTACCTGCGCCTGTCGCACCTGCGTCCTCATCAGTCTCAGTAACCCCTTCCATGCCGTTTGTGACCCTGCCTGCCCCTTATAGGCTCACAGCTTCTTGGTCATCGTACTTGGTTGCATCTACGGATTGATTCCACGGGTGCAACTCGACCAGCGGCTGCTGTGCCGCCTTTGGTCTCGGTGTGTTCCTCCATAGCATTCGTGGCCCTGCCTGCATTGGCACCTGCAGAGTTCCCTCTTCGGGTCTCACCTGTGACTGCCCCCCATGTCTCTGCTTCAACCACTTCGCCATCCCTGGCTTCACCACCCCCTTCTTCACGGCCCTTATTTCCCCTGGTCTTGTCTCCGTCTGTCGCCCACATTCCTACTACTCCACCACCACCTACATCTTCACCGCTCCTACCTCCCCTGGTTTTGTCCCCTGGTTTTGTCTCCTGGTTTTGTCTCCATCCGTTACCCCTCTTCCTGATCCACAAACTGCTTCGTCCACACAGACTTCGTCATCTTATTCTCCGTTGGTCTCATCTGCCCCTGCGGAACGCCTACTTTGCCATCCTGGACACCGGCCTTGGCTTACTCCCCAGCCTCAGCTTACTCCCCTTTCCTCCATCTCTGTTCTTGGACGAAGAAGAACCCATTCATTCTCCCCATCACGGCCCTCCTTTAAATCCCGTCCTCGTCTTTTGCAGCCCCCAGCATCTGTGCCACGACTACGATGCTCTTCGACTGCAGACCTTCCTGCAGTGCGACAAGCACAAAATAGGAGGGATGATGGTGAGGGACCATCTGAGGATGAACTTGGCAAGGGGACTGTAGGGGACTCTGTGGAAAATCTGCCTGAGTGCCCTCCACCGAATCTGTGTGGCCTCGCTGCTACTAACATCTGCCTACAAGCCTATCGCTGGCAACCATATGCGCACTCTGATTTCTTAGCCATTGCTTCCGAGCTTGATGCTCAGGAGCGGGAGTTATATGGTGATAACCCAACTCAGCATCCCGCACACGATAGTAATTACACTTGACGTGGGGGATTCAGTCTCTGTTCTGGAGACTGCATTGATAAGGCGCCAGCTTGATATGCAGCATACCCTTTCGGGTGGCGACCCGGACCACTGTTCGCACGTTTGTGCCTAATTCTACATACTCCTGACCACTACACCGTGCTTGTCCGTGCCTCTGGTTCTTGGGAATTATGGAATGGCGGTGCTATGGTGCAAACTATTACTGCCACGTGTGATATCGTGCGTAATTACCCTAATCTGCAACTGTTCCTGGTTATTGACCCCATATCCTTGTGTACTTCCGCGTCTGCCTCTGCGCCCATCTCTGTGCCTGCCTCCGGACCTGTCTTTGTGCCTGTTTCTGTGTCCGTCTCCTTTCAGGTTATTGACCCTATCCGCACCTGTCTCCGTGCCCGTCTGTGTCTGTTGCCTGTCTCTGTGTCTGTCTCCGTGCATACCTCTTCCGTGTCTGTCACCGTGCCTGCTTCAGTCTTTATTCCCCCACATGCTGTATTAACCCTTTGTGACCTCCTTCTTTGTGCGGCCACTGACACAGTTACACTTGGCTGTGTAAAGCATCGACTTTGTCGACGTCACTACAACCATATTATTTTTCGGGCCCGCTGTCTGCAGGGATGCCACCTGTATCCGGATTGTGAACATCCTCTACATCCAGATGCAGTATATCCCATCTGTACCTGTGGGCTCTATAGCGAATGTGCACTTAACTGTGATGGTGAACGCCCCACAATCGTCATGGCCTTCAACCCGCATGCCCTCTGCCGTGCATGCTTCAGAGGTATGGTTGATGCTAGCCGTCCTGGCTCCTGCTGTGACGAGGTTGCTTGCCTGAATCGTCTTTGCCCTATAGATCGGCGGGAGGGCTGCTACCATCGCCCTTTTATGATAGTTGTCCTTGTCTGTCGTGAGGGTCTTACTCAGACGTACCTTGCACCTTAACAAAAAGGTGCAGGTGCGCTGAAAAGAGTGTACAAATGCTTCAGAGGTATGGTTGATGCTACCTAATGCTTCAGAGTTATGGTTGATGCTACCCGTCCTTGCTCCTGCTGTGACGAGCTTGCTTGCCTGAGTCATCTTTGTCCTACAGATCGGCGGGAGGGCTGCTACCATAGCCCGCATCCTTAATGATAGTTGTCCTATGTGTCGTGAGGGTCTTACTCTTACCTTGCACCTTAACAAAAAGGTGCAGGTGTGCTGAAAAGAGTGTACAAAAGTGGGAGACCCTTCACTAAAACTGCAAGACAGTGAAAGAAGAATGCAGTAAGAGAAAGAAGTTTGTGTCCTTTTACTTTGTTTGTTCCCTGCACCCTAACACCCTTAAAGAAATAGTCAGAAGGGTGAAAATGAGAATGAAAAGTAAAGGAGGAAGTGCAGGTGTGCTGAAAAGCGAACGTGGTAGAGCCTTCACCAAAACTGTAAAACTGTGAAGGAAAGAAGAATGCAGTAAAAGAAAGAAGAATGCAGTAAAAGAAAGAAGAAGTTGTGTCGCCTTCCCTTCGCCTATCGGTTTTTCTTTTCTGCTCATCTCTTCCTTGTGTTTAACACCTCTCCCTTTACTCTGCCTCTTTCCCACAGTGTGCAAGTGGGCTGTTATGGCATACGGGGATGGGGGCAGCTCGTGCTGAACTTCATCACCGTGGCTAGCCTTGTACGTGAGAGGCGCAGTGGAGGAGTTAAGAAGACTGAGAAATCGAATGATTTCAATGTGTCTTTGTGTTTGGGTTTTATCCTTTGTTCAGTGTAAAAAAATTATAAAACACTGAAAGAAATAAGAATACACTAAAACAGTCACTCTATAATGAGGCACTTTATGGGGTTCTTGGCTGCTTTATTATATATGCAGCCTTGATGTGTTGCTGGTGCAAATCTTTCCAAGCGTTGAGGTAAGTCACAATTGTTCAAGAGATGTTGGCTCTCGTAGACATCACTTCGAGTACAAGATTACGTTTGTCTTCAACTGGTTTTAACTCAGAAGTCAAAATAGTTTATTTCTTCGGCTCATCCAGCCAATTTAGTGGACATCTTAGCCCACGCCTTCAATCAACAGTGTTTCGTGTTCCGAATATATTTTGGAGTGTCAGCTGAGGACATAATGGGCCTCACTGCACCACTCGCCAAATGTGGAAGATGAGAATGAATTTTCTGCTAAAAAATGGATGCATACACCACCATAATTTGTCTTTTTTGCATTTGGTGAGTGGTGCAGCAAGGCCCAAGGCCTCGTGTATAGTGCCTCGTGTAGTGGAAAACTCTCTTTCATATGTAGATGGTGCTACTTTCTCAGAGGGCAGCCGTCTCGACATGAACTCCACTGGTTTATACCCATCTCTATCAATTTTCTGTAGCACGACCCCTGTTCCCATCGGCCCACATCTGTGGCTGTCTCTTATACACATCTAGATGTGTATAAGAGACAGGTATAGTGCCTCGTGTAGTGGAAAACTCTCTTTCATATGTAGATGGTGCTACTTTCTCAGAGGGCAGCCGTCTCGACATGAACTCCACTGGTTTATACCCATCTCTATCAATTTTCTGTAGCACGACCCCTGTTCCCATCGGCCCACATCTGTGGTTACTATAAATGGCAACGAGGGGTCTGCCAAGGATTTTAGGAAAGCGGGTGGGAGCTTTAGGGTCGGAGATGGAATCTCCTTGTATCAGTTCGGAGATGGAATCTCTTCGTCGACCATACAGTACTTGCCATGACGCCCAGCATCGTAGAGTACTCTCTTTTGCCTGATCAAGTCACACCCGAAGTGGCCTCAGAAGCAACCAGCAGTGCTTCCGTGACAGTTTGAATGGACAAGTGTGTTGTGTTGCACAAGAAAAAGATTGCTACAGCAGAACATGTGTGACTGTGTGTGGCTGTGTGTGTGTCCTTGGTGTTGCAGCAGAACGTACGTGTGTGTGTGTGTGTGTGTGTGTGTGTGTGTGTGTGTGTGTGTGTGTGTGTGTGTGACTCTGCGCGTGTGCGTGTGTGTCATGCCGCAGCATAGGTTAGCTGTAGGGGTTGGTGGGTGTCGAGGGTGGGGGTTGGTGGGTGCTGATGGGAAGTTGCAGGAGTGTTACAGTCTCATGTGTTGCTGTTATGCGTCATTTCTTAGCACAGAACTGCCAAGGAATGATGGGCACGACACCAAAACCCCTATGTACCTATACCTAAAAAAAAGTGACTAAAAATAAAAGATAAAAGAAAATGTACGCATACACGGTTTTTTGAGTATGTTCTCGTTCTCTCCGGAGTAGGGACTCACCCTGTACATGGGGTGCTACGCCGATGGAAAGCTTTTGGGTCAGGTGCACGGGAACTGTTCTACGTTTTTCTGTGGGTACACAACTCTCCTTTCAAAAAATCCTTCGTAACAATTTTGTCCAAATGTATGCAGCAGAGGGTTTTATTTGCGGCAGAGGCTTGTGACCATTTCGTTCATTTGCTCCTTTGGCAGTCTGAAATATCATAAACGTAAAGTGCAGCATTTATCCAGATAGCCTAAACCTTTCATGCTCACTTCCACCGACTTGAGTCACTTCAATACTGTGTGTCAAAATTTCCACTACAACAGCTGCACGTGCACTCGTCCAGTCTACTAAAGTGGCTGTCAGACAGTATGCAAGAATTCTCCAGAGCGCTCTGGGGTTGCAATGAGGGAGGGGATACCGAGTTGAGATGCTATCCCATGTCAGCGTCCTTTGGATTCTTTCATCTACCAGTAATAGACCTGATTGCTGCTCTGGTCTTATATGTGCTGCTGACACACAGGAAACCATTGGATGATGGTGCCATGGTTTGCTCCATGGATGAGTGTGTGGATGATGTTTAGAGTTCTTTTCTGACTGCGGACATGCGACATTGCATATTGCATTCCGTTGGAGTTCTTGCAGAGACTGGCTGATGCACCGTCAGCAGTTGATGAAACAGCCGGGGAGGCTGGACCTGGTATGGAAGTGGAAGGTGGTGTTCGGGATGATCACAAGAATGCAACAGAGTTAGCATCAGTGTGCGGGGATCAGGCAGGGCCCTCAGGAGATGGAGGTCTGCCAGAGTGCGGCAATGCAGCTGGTAGTTCAGAACCAGTGCAGGAAGATGACACTGCTGTTGAGGTGGTCGGCTCGGTGGAAGCAAACAATGGGACTGTGGACCCAGGTTAGAGTGATCTCAACCTTGCCCTTGGCCTGTGGAAAAGTGTCTCTCCACCTTGTCCACTGTGCACATAGGCAACCCCCCCCACCCCACCCCCAAGTCTAGTCATGGTGTGATAGAGATGACGGTGACGTGAATGGGTGGTTTGGGATGAATAGCTGTGCGACCAATGGTGGCTTTATGGGCGGGCTCAGAGGCTCTTGAAACTTTTTTAGACCATTGTTGTGGTTCATATTTCTTGTTGGACCCCACCCCACCCCATGAAGTCTATCCATGGTGTGATAGAGATGATGGTGACGTGAATGGGTAATATGGAATGAATAGCTGTGCGACCAATGGTTGCTTTATGGGCCGACTCAGAGGGCCTCGAAACTTTTTTAGACCATTGTTGTGGTCCTTTTTTCTTGTTGGAGTCCTTTGTGTTGTGGGGACTAAATTTTTAATTTTTCGAGTTCTGTGTACTTGTTGTTTGTTAAGTATGTTGCCTTTTGCCCTCCATCCTTTTATAGATTGAAAAAAATATGAATTGGTGCAAGTGTGCCGCTTCGGTAGCACACAGGTGTGTGGGCACTTGGCGCTTAAAGCACCAGTACACCATACATAGGCCCGGGAGTGTCAGCATGCAACCCGCACCACTTCAAAGGTCGCAGATTTTGTTTTTCAACAGCGCCCCCATGCCGTGTGGCCCGTCCGAGTTTTGCTTGTGCGATAAAAAACTTTCTTCAATGGCTGGGGGCGTGTACTGGCAGTTTAACCGCACAATCGTGGCCGACCTTGCATCTTCTACTATATTGCCTATCTGTTTTCTTTTGTTTTATGGATGGTTTGTGACAATTTGTGATGGAATGAGAGAGCAATAGTTTTTTTTTTTTTTTTTTTTTTTTTGACACACGAGTTGCTGGAAGTCTGACAAAACAGTATGGCGCAGTCAATGCTTTTCCAGTGGAGTTTTGTGTAGCGGACATGACGCCTTGCTTCTCGGACGTACTGCATTTCGTGTCAGGGGTCTCGATTGACAGTCTGCTAGGATTACTGGGTTGGTGTGAATAACGTCGACCAGTTTTCTCAGGGGTATTGTTTACTCTGGCTCATGTGGTGAGTCCTTAGCAGTCTGGCACATCCTCACGTGGTGAGTCCGTAAGTCAAATGCATCCTGGGCAGACCATCGCAGTTCAACCTCCTAATGAGTTGGTGAAAGACCAAAGAAACAGTCTGGCACAGTCATGGAGTTGTGTATATAGTGAACGTGACAACACAGAGACAGTTTATCCGACTTACTGTTATTTTCTTGTCAGGGGTTTGGACCGAAAGTCTGCTAAGGTTGCCGGGTTGGGGGTATCGCTAACTCTGGGTGACATGGTGAGTCGTTATCCAATAGTCAAATGCATCCTGGGATGAGTCTGTCCAGGTTCAACCTCATCGCACGAGTCGGTGAAAGTGGGATGGGACTTCTTGTCTGGCCTCACTCTATCTCAAACAGGCAATCTCAGCAAACCAGCTCATTCCTATGGTGACTGGTGAGTTGGAGAATATACAACTGTGGTGCAAATTCATATAAGACATTGACACACGGCCTGGGGTTTCACTTGCTGTCTTATGGAATTCTCACACGAGGGCTTATTTTGTGGACAATTCCCGCTTTCTTCTTGTAGAACCGAACTGCAAATTCTCTGGGGACGGATTCACTTTGTTGGAGCCGCATGCCAATATTTGCATGTGCTTTCTGTTGACATTGGAGCATTCGAGACATGATTCTTTCTCTCGACTGCAAATGCCTGTCTATCAAGCGTAGTAGCTGGTAGTTTTAGTTTTTGCGTTTGTTTCCTGATGGATCTCTTGTCCTCTTTATTCATGTGTTGGCTTGGGGTCGTTGATGTGCATTGTGCGTGTGTGCGCGCTGTGTCCCTGTGTGCGCGCTGTGTGCCTGTGTCTCCATTGTGTGTGCGCGTGTGTATGATGATGTTTGTGTGTTTCGAATGTGTTCAGGTGCTGAAATGCTGGAGCCTCTGCAGAAAACCTTGGCATTTTTCTGTAAGCTTGGGAAGCAGCAGAATAATGCTCCTGCTGCACCACAAGTTTGGGGACAATTGACATCACAATATTCTCAGGTCAGTCTGGAAGAGCAAAATCAAGAAAAGGATTGTGTGCCTGTTATTTGTCCTTGATATCTTTGGCATGTAAAAAATGGTAAATGACGAATGGGCCCAGCTCAATTGGCACACCCATGAACTGTTGAAATACACGACCCAAGATCGAATCCAGATGCAACCAGGTGATCAGAATAATATAATTCTGAATTACATGGGGCCGGTCAGTGCAAATGATGATATCGCAAGGCTGTCACCCTTTTTAAAAGAATGGATAAAAAAAAGAGAAGGGGAAAAAAAAATTGGTGAATGACAATCGGGCCGTTGGGCTTTTTCTTTCTCTGGCTTTCTGATATTCGTCTATTGGCTGTAGGCCCTGAGATTCTAGCCAATCACAGCCGGGGTCTTGTCTGTCGTGCCATTCGGTGCAAATAGAAGGGGGGAAAGGAGTGGTCAGGCAATTTCGTTCTTCCCCATGAACATAGGCAAATTGATCGCTTGTGGGATTTGTCAAGGTGAATGCGGGGATGGAGCTTGCTTATAACTGTTTCCTGCATGTGGGGTTGTGGTAGCTGTACATAACCGTCTGCACAAGGTGAGGTGTTGTAGTTGCATTGGTAGACATTTTTCACCCCACCCAATTGTGAATTTGCTTTTGTAAACCATTTTTTAAGATAACCTTTTTCTCTGTACTGTTACGCTTATATCTTCAGCCTGCTTTGAACGGACCACAATGGAGCACACAAAAAGCATAGTTATCTTGTCACTGACTTGGTTCACCTCAGACAAGGAGCGGACCGGGCAAGGCTTTCTATGGAATGGTCTCATCTCTGTATATACTAATGCAGCAATAATCCCGCGTGGTTGTGAAGAGCCATCCACAGACACACTGCGGTGGCATGAAGTGTCATCATGACAGAATTAGACAAACATGAACTGATCATTGTTGTACGATGCTGCTTGCATCTGTTAATCTTTTCCTCGTAAGTTGGCATGCCTCTCTTCAACTGGGAAGGGAGCTGTAGAACTGCTTTGTCGCACTGCATTCCATTAATTTCTCATGTGCAAGTAACCAACCAATGTGAAAAAATATTTTTGAGATGCAAAAACTCATAGAAGACCAAGCATGAGTGAGCAGAGTTGATAGCAAACTTGCAAAAGCCGAGAGCACCCGACTTAGAAGCAGACCAAACACTGAGGTCTTTTGACAAAAGAAAACCCACTTCTCTCGCCTTCAATGATCAATACGACAGTACTGTAGCAGCCTTCTATGATGTGTCCGCCTATATCATTCTCCCACTCCACCTATGCACACTGGTCTATGGCTCCCCCTCTCTCTGTGTGAACAATCCTCTCGAAAGATGATGCTGAAGAGTCTGACCACTTGTCCGCTCAACAGAAATTACCAGGTAAGTACCTTCAGTTCCGCTCTTCCCGACCTCCCTAACCCACAGCCACCCTTCTCCTTACACAGTGCTGACAGCAATGGAAGCCACTGGCTTGTAAAGCTCTCCGTGGCACACTCTCTTCCTGACGCCAAGGCACGGTCCACCAGCGCTGGAGCATTGAGCCAGTGCCCTGATGGTGGTGCTCTAGTCAGCCTCTTCTTTTTTGGCCTTTCTGGAGGCCGAGGTCTGGGTCCTTATAGGCAGTCCCTGCTTCCTACTGGCCTAAACCTGGTTCGCAGACGGACTTTTCTTAGGGCTGGGGCTCATTTTTAATGGGCGACCTTCGTGGGCTCCACCGAGGCGTGAAGCCTCACACATGTTCCTTCTTCCACAATCTTTTATGCCTCTTTTCAGTCTCATGGGGGCTGCCTTGCTCCGCTTCAAACGTGAGACCTGTCCATGCTTCTCATTCTTAGGTCTCCTTGTAGTTAGGTTCTCCTCAGAAGACCTAGCTTGTCTGCCCCTGCACTTGGGACCTTAAGCTATTATAAGACCTGAGCGGAGGCGGCATCGAGATCTGGCAGAAGGTATGAGTTTTCCTTGGGAGAAACCTCTAGAGCCAGCAAACGGCTTTACATCTGATTTCAACCCCCATTTTCTTCCACTACTAGTCAGCCCTTCTGACGATTCTTCTTCTATCTGTTTGTTTGGCAACATTGCTATTTTGTTTACGAGTTACATGGTCATGATATTGTGAGCTTCAGGAGTTGATTATAGCTTATTGTAAGAGCATACTCACACTTGGACTTCTCTGGTTGCATCTGACTGCAATAATGGCTTGCCTTGGACGTATCTGACTGTAAGTACGTCCAAAGAACAGTCAAAAAGTACTAGTGTGGGTGTGTTGTATGTCAATCAGAATGCTGTACGTAGTTGCATATCTGGCGAGTTTCGGCTGATTTCGGTCTGCAACTTTGTAACTTGTTTCTCAAATCTTCTGGGATAATGTTGATAACTTGATGCTGCAACAGAATTATGTAACCGCATTGGAGAGCTGAATGTCTTGCCACTTGCTTGTGCATTTCCATGTGTACCCTTTTCTAGTTCCACTGATTTGTGTGGTATAAGTTATATCAAGTCAAAGATTAGATGGTTGTAGCAGAGTGGTTGCAGGTTCAGTTACTCGGCCGAGCAGAGGCTGATGACGAGCATGGTTGCAACTGGTTCTTTCAGTAGAACTCAGAATGGCTGTCATGTCTTTGAACACAGTTCAGCAATTCTGCACTCGCGTGCAGCCCATCTCTGAGTCTATGGGGTGCTTTGTCTGGGTTATGCTAGTTGGAGGAAGATTTTGATTGGTATGACAGTCGGTCAAGACTGGCTGCCTGGTTTGTGCGCATCAATAGACATGCACTAAATGGAGGAAGATTTTGATTGTTATGACAGTCGGTCATCGCTGGCTGCTTGGTTTGTGTGTGCATGGATAGACATGTGAAACCTGCAGCTCGTGCTGACTTGGTTCTCTTGTCTACGTGTGTACCTTCAGCATCCTCATGTACCCCTTTCGGGGTATTGTTTCACAGTGGGGCGAAGTCGAAGTTGCAATTTACAGCTGCGGGAAAACAGCATTACCGGAACACTTTGCCGGCTGTGGTTCTGGGTGAGTGTACATGATGCAGCCTCCATTTCTCTGAGTCTTTTGGGACGAGAGCTCCAGAATTCCCTGAAGTGTATTTTTCTTTTCCGTGTGGCCATCAGATATGTGGCTTCATTTACAGTTTGTTCGATGGTGCAGATTTGACTAGCACAGACTAGGGTGTACTAAACATAGATGATGAAGACAGTTCTATGTCTTAGTCCGTGCTATTGAAATCTATTCATATTCGTTGCATGGCTGTTCGGAACAGGTGGTAACGCCCATGATGGTGGCTATATCATTCTGTCACGCGGTCTCTTTGTGTTGCTGTTATGGCACTGGTCTGCGAGGCACGTGGAATGTTCGACTTTCTCATCTTTCGTCCAGGTCTCCTCCTCGTGCACCTTCTTGGCCACCTTCTCTGGACCTCCCCTCCTACTCTTTTTTGCTCTCGGCTCTTGCCTCGTGCTCCCTTTCCGTATCGCACTCCACTTCCTACCGTTTCTGATCTGTTTTGGAGTTTGTGTACTCTTTCTGATTCCATGTGGCCATCATCAGTTCTCGAAAGAGTGGTTGCTGCAAGGCAAAATTGCAATAGTAGATGGCAAAATGCTTAGAGCCTCTTGGCCAGCCGCAGAATGGAACAGCGATGTTAAGCATGATGGCATGGAAGCGATTGATAGAGGGGAGACTCGTTTCTTACCAATTGAACAACCTCAGCTATCTGGACGATCTGTGGTTCTTAATGATCAATGTCGATCTGGCAGTCACAGCAGAGCTGCAACGAAGAGGAACCAATGAAAGAAAAGTTGTCGGACTGTGAATCTCCTCTTCAGTCCTCTTCGGGTAGTGACCAATGCTGACCAGGGGTTCTTCAGCTTTAATGGAAGGAATCCTATCATGGTTATGTATGGTTGTGTATTTCTTCTTGACTTGCCGGCGGAAAGGGACCGGATTGTTGGACCCCAGAATGGATATGGAGTCAGGTGTTTTTGAGTAAATAAAAAATAAAACACAAGGAAGAAAGTGAAGCGCTCCTGTACCTGCTCGTCAAGTGCTGAGTAGTTGAAGTAACAAAATGAAGCACTGTCACATCGCCGCCTCCAGTGCCCACCGTCATGCCCCCACCCACGCAATCCATCAATCGCAGTCGAGTATCATTTGGGTTGTGATGTGTGCTCATGGTCAACCCTCAATGCTGGTCGTGGTTGGTTGATAATGCAGACAGGAAAAATGTCTGTGATTCCTGAGGAGAAGGTACGGCATTTGGTAGAAAAAAGTTGCCGCCATGTGAGTGTGCCAGTGTAGAGGCTGAGGAAGGCATTTCAAGATTGGGTTTTGTAGTTGTTGTTAAGGGTGGTGAAAGAAGACGGTTGAAAGAGGTGAGCAACAGCAGGCGTAGGAGGGTGTGCTCCATGATTAGGGGGAGAAAACAGTGCGAGGGAACAAGCACTCCACCAGTGAGGAGGAGGTGGATTGGGGGTTGGGAAGGGGGCATGCCCATGCAAGTGGTCATAATTTGGGATTGCGAGGTGAGGTAGGGCATTTGGTAGAAAAAGTTGCCGCCATGTGAGTGTGCCAGTGTAGAGGCTGAGGAAGGCATTTCAAGATTGGGTTTTGTAGTTGTTGTTAAGGGTGGTGAAAGAAGACGGTTGAAAGAGGTGGGCAACGGCAGGCGTAGGAGGGTGTGCTCCATGATTAGGGGGAGAAAACGGTGCGAGGGAACAAGCACTCCACCAGTGAGGAGGAGGTGGATTGGGGGTTGGGAAGGGGGCATGCCCATGCAAGTCGTCATAATTTGGGATTGCGAGGTGCTTTAAATCACGAGTACCTTTCCTAGCAATGTTGTCGTGACGAGGTCGTTAACGCATCGTTAAGTCACATTGTCGTGACATGGTCCTTGACACGTAGTGTGCTTGGACTCAGCCTACCAGATCAAAACGGCTGGTGGTCCCAGATATTGTTGAAGGGTGGGAGAAATCAAGTGTGCAACACTGTTATTTCTCAAGCCTGGTGGAAACTGATTGCTGCTCTGAGATTAGGAGAAAAACACAATGTTTGGAGGGTTTGCTCTAAGATGGTGTTGAGTTTGTTGACTATGTTGTTGAAATGATCTTGACTTGTTTATAGCCTTTTCTCTGGTTTAGTTTTCTGATGTTTTTTGATGGGCGCATGGTATTGGCAGAAAAACGCGGTGGTCCTGGAAAACCTTGGAGGCATGGGGATCCTTTCGGTGAACCGCAAGGTTCTGAAGAAGAATGCGAAAGTGGTATTGAGAGGCGGAGATGAACTCATTTTCACGGCGGGGAGGAACTACTCTTTTGTATCCTTTGGAAGTATAGTGTGCCACAAAACTTTTGAGTGCCCAAGTGAATTTCTGCTAACACGAACCGATGGACCGTTCCTTCAATATGTGTGAAAATGGTGTCGTGTTGTTGAATGCTATTGGGAGGACCAATGTATATGAGTATATGAATCTACTCTCTGGGAGCAAAAGTGAGGGGCGTAGGAAGGAGGAGGTACGGAAATATATCAGTTTCAATCCTTTTGTGAGGGCGCATGGAAAACCAAGAGTAATGCATGTCTGGGCTCTGGTGGTTTCACCTTGACCAAGAGTTATTTGCAGATTTTCCAGCCGAGTGATGAAGTGCGGGGTGCAGCTCCTTGTGCAGGAGCGGGAGGCATGTCAGACCTCTCTCCTGATGCCATCATTTCAGCTGCAGAGCAGGCTATGCAAGAAGAAAGTACAGCGCCAGCTCTGCTTGCAGCAATGGACAATGTGAGGGATGAGTTGCTCAAAGGAGTTAATGCCGGGGCGGCGACGTCATCATCTCAAGGAGGAGCGGATGACGATGTTCCATGTGAGCAGGGAGGGAAAAGGTCAACCATAGCAAGTGACCTTGGAGGTGATGCGATGATGTCCGAGGCAGGCGATGAGGAAGGTGATGGGCGCACCAGCGGGACCCCAACTTCTGGTGGTCATGGGACAAAAAGATACCACAGTCGATACAGATCGGGCTCATCGCATGGTGCAAAAAGTGGGAATGGAAGCCCAATGCGAAGTGGGAGGGATCGTGATGTGGGAAAGAAAAAGGTCGATGAGGGTGAGGGTGTTGCTGACATGATGGCAGAGGGCAGGTTATTACAACCTGATGAGGGACCCAACACATCAACTGAGGCAGTGATGACAGAGGCAGCAGCAGGTGCGATTGGTGAGGTAGATGCAGAGGGGACTGCTGGAGGTAGAGGGGCAGGCAAGGGAGCAGCAGGAGGTAATGAAAGAGAAGGAGATGGCGTGGCAGCACTGATGGCAGCTGCCCTGGCAATAGCGAGACGGCAAGCATACAAGGATGAGTTTATGAAGGCAATTGTCCATGGAAAGGACATCAATGTCACATTTGACAATTTTCCTTACTATTTGAGGTAAGCCAAGGTGTTGTGCTGGATTGGTATTCGCCATTGAATTCCGTTAAAATGCTCTCGAACCCATCTCGTTTTGTGTTTATAATCCTTTGGAATTTGCAATACACAGGGAAAAGGGCTTCTGACATGAAGTAAATTGGGGTTTGCTCTCTCTGTGGCAAGTTCTCTGCGTGCCTGTTTTGGGGGAGCGGGAGGGGTTCCTAAAGTGAAGCCCACATTGCATCACCTACATCTCCCACATTGTACCACCTAGCACACGTAGCATTTATCTAGTGTCCAGCCCACGGAGTACCCATGCACTCCAAATACTATGACCCATCCAACGTAGTACTCTGCGGCCAGACCGGCCAGCCCACATGGTACTGCGCAACCCACATAGTATCACCTGGGCTCACATAAAGCCACCCAGTATATATTATGTGGCATGGGTGATACTACTGTGGGTTTGGTGATACCATGTAGACTGGATGATCTGGCTGCAAGGTACTATGTGGGGTAGGTCGTGCTATTTGGACTGGATGGTACTATTTGGGCTGGGCGGTATGCTCTTTCCTTTTTCGTTCCCCACAGCCAGACCACGCAGTCCACATGGTACCACCCAACAAATAGTATCACCCATGCCACTAGCATCACCCATCTAGCGTCCATTGTATCACCCAGCCCACGGAGTACCCATGCACTCCAAATACTTTGACCCATCCAACGTAGTACCCTGCGGCCAGACCAGCCAGCCCACATGGTACTGCGCAACCCACACAGTATCATCTGGGATCACATAAAGCCACCCAGTGTATATTATGTGGCGTGGGTGATACTTTTGTTGGTTGGGTGATACCATGTAGACTGGATGATCTGGCTGCAAGGTACTATAGGTCATGCTATTTGGACTGGATGGTACTACGCGAGCTGGGCGGTATGCTGTTTCCTTTTTGGTGCCCCACAGCCAGACCACACAGTCCACATGGTACCACCCAACCCACGTAGTATCACCCATGCCACTTTATACTTCTCAGCCAGACCACGAAGTACCATCTCTGTGAGTTTCGTATGTGTCTGTTTTTCTAGTATATAGCGGTTCTCTCTTTTGGGGGCAGGTTTTCTTTTCTGGAAATCCAGCACAGTGTGAGTGTGTGTGTGTGTGTGTGTGTGTGTGTGTGTGTGTGTGTGTGTGTGTGTGAGAGAGAGAGAGAGAGAGAGAGAGAGAGAGAGAGAGAGAGAGAGAGAGAGTCATGGAGAGAGTCATGGACGTCAGGGTACGTCTTCTTGAGCAATGTGGCTAACATTCTTTGTGTGATTTGGTGGTTGTGGCAGCGAGAGTACAAAGATACTTCTCATTACATCAGCATTTGTGCACTTGAAGCGGGCAGAGTTTGTCAAGTACACCGTCTACCTTCCAACAATCAGCCCCAGGATACTGCTCTCTGGGCCAACAGGTGAGTACATGGCCCTTGAGTATGTGAGCCTTGAACTCGTTGCTGGATAGCATGGATGGTGCTGCATGAGACCTTGCAGAGTGGGAAGCCCAAAGGGCTTGAGTACTGTGTAACTAGTCATCATGGCTTGTGACACTGAATATTGCAATGTCATGGTACTACCCTATGCCATGAACAATTCTGTGTAGCACCATGAAAATTCCTTGACAGACGGAAGCAGTCAATGTGTAGACTTTTCACCCAGACTGGTAACTCAGACCGGTAACTTCTGATACGCAAAATCATAATTAGCTTTGTGAACAGCATAATGAGCAACTCCTTTGATCATGTGTTTCTTTTCTGGCCCGTGTTGCATGCTGTCAACCACACAGCAAATGACGCCCATTCCTTGCTGGGTAGTGAAGGCCAATGCGGCTGTAACAGAGGTCATCTCGAAAGGGTGAGCTATGAATGGAAGGTGCCTTAAGACGGACTAGACTCCCCTGGTTGTAATATTGTCAAGTCTGTGTTTGAGGAAGAATTGAGTCATGTGTGTGTGGACCTTGGCCTGATGCGTCTATGACTGTCCCCAAATGAACAGTAAAGACTTCAACGTCTTCTGCCCTACGGCAGACTGTGACACCGGCCCCATCAGGACCCTGGGCTAGACTAGATCCAGACAGCCGGATCTGATATGGACAAGGGGAAGGTCTGAATTTTGCTCGTACAGAATATAATTGCGGATTTTGAAATAATCCTCAGCCCAGATGTGCTTGGATTGCATTGCTGCACAGGATATTGTTTCTTCCTTTGTATGTTGGGCAAGCACCCTGGCATTCCTTGACCGGCGGGCAGGGGGCACCTGGCAGGGAAAATCAGGCAGGTCAAAAACAGGGCAAGGATAAAGAACACAATGTTCTGACTTCAGGCGAGGATGGTGCAGGTGTAACGAACCAATCGATGTGAACACAAATTTTCCAAGTAGCGAAAGACAGAAAGCAGAACGAGCTGAACGTAAAGCCGAGAACACACCACCAATTGAGAAGACATCAACACTGAAGTCCCTTGATAAGAAAGCCCGATTGCTCGCCTCCACTCATCAGTGCAACCACACTGTGGCGGGCTGTGCTATTCGCCCACTCATATAGCCTATTATCTCTCTCTCTCTCCTCTCTTCTGTCTCTGTCCACTGTCCTTTCTCCCAACAATGCAGCAAAGTCTGACCACTGTGAGTGTGCTGTTTGACAATCGCCAAGCCCTTCTGTTCGCCCCAGCTCCAGTGCCACCCTTCTTCCACCCAGCACAGCTGTGGCTGCTGCTGGCGCAGCAGCTAACCCACGGCTGCTGCTCTCCTTCTTCGGGTGAGCGCTGGACAGGTCGCTGGTGCTCGCGCAAGGCTATTGCTGGCAGCCAGTACTTCCGAATGTGTGGAATGCTGCAACCTCCTCTGTTATTGTTCTCCCTGTTGGCTGCGACTGCATGGGCTAGGTCTGGGCTCTTCCAGACTGAGTATCAGGGACCCAGCTTCTTCAGCTAATCTGGAGGCCGGGTCTACCGGTAAGTTGGAGGGGCTCTGCCCAACTTTCCTTCACCAACGGCCTCATGCCAGCCTTCGCTCAAGGCTGGCAAACCCACTTTCTGCCTCAGCCTTTGCTTAGGGCTGGGCTGATTTTTTTGGGTGGCCCCTGGTGGAGGCCTGAACCCTCCCACAGGTCCTGAGCAGTCAGAGCCCAGCCTGAACTTGAAATGAGGTAACGGCTCACCTGGGAGGGTTTAGGGGTATAAACAGGGCTCCAAGAGTTCTGAAGGGGTATATCTTAACTCTTGTTTTCAATGTTGTTTTCGACTTCTTTGTAGTGAAAAAGTTTAGGAATTTCAAGGAGACCCTCACCCTGAAGTTGTTTGTATCGCATTTTTACACCAGATATGTTTTTCCAGAACTTGAAGATTTGTTTTTTCAATGTTGAAATGTTTTGTGCTACCTGGGTGGTACCTGGGCAGAGAGAGCCAGTCCAGGCTGCTCCTGGACGACAACAGTTGTTTTTCCTGTCTCGTAATTTTTGAATATCTTCAAAAAATTCAAAAATTTAGAAAATGTAAATATGGGATTCTATCTGAAGTCTGGAATTATTCCAGATCCTTTAGGGTCCTTGAAAAATCATAGTCTTTGAGAGTATATCATTTACCCTTTGTGATTTAATCTGGATGCCTGTGGACGTATAGGGTCTTTGGCCATCACACGTGTGTGTGTCTGTGTGTGGTGTGTGGGGGATTGCTGGCCATAGGCACTGCTGCTACTTGATGGGGACGGGGAAAGTAGACCGTAGGCACAGCTACTGAATGCTCGGTCTTTGCATTAGCCAGCCCCCCCAACCTGCGGCGCCACCCTACTCTCTGACCACCGCCGATTAGGGGAGGGGGAAACCTGCATCCCCCTGATTGTGAGAGGTAGCTTGCGTGGGTCTCCTATATAAAAGCTTTAGTAGTAGTAGTGGTAGGTAGGTAGCGAAACGTGAAATTGAGAGAAGAGATTCTGAACCACAGTCCTCATACTGTACGGACACTGGTCGGGATGTCCAAATTGCAGCCATTTGTGTAGAACTGTTGATTCTATAACTCTGACGATAGACCGTCTTGAGAACTCACGAGTTGTAATTCCGAAAGAACAGATTCACTGCTTGCTTCAAAGTAGCCTTGAAAGTTTCGCCAGAAGTTTTTTTCACTGCTTGCTTCTAAAGTAGCCTTGAAAGTTTCGCCAAAATTTTTTTTCACCAAATGAAACGAAGTCCACAATAGAGGAAGCAGAATAAACAAAACGAAACAAGTAGGAAAAAACAGATCGTCCAAACGAGAAAGTGAAGTGAAAAAACGAAAGATAGATCCTGTTTTCTGTAGGCCAATGCTAGCTCTGTTCATGTCCCTCAAAGTTTGTGCAATTGCTCCTAACTGAGATGTTATCCTTACCTACGGCTGGCTGCTGGGGGAGGAATTAAGCCATGGTTGCTGTTCTGGGGGATAGGCATATCCAGATACAAGCAGGAAAAGTTTTTGCTCATTTCGTTGATCATTTCGTTGCCAAGGTTTTGCATGAATAAAAGAAGTGCCAGTAACAGTGCCAAGGGTTGGCTGCCAACGTGGGCAGAGCACAGTGCTGTGGTGATTTGTCCCGTCCGTCAATTTTGATCAGTGACGAGGAGCTTCCTGGGACTCTGTTTTGCAGGTTCTGAAATTTACCAGGAGACTCTTGTAAAGGCGTTGGCCAATCACTTCCAGGCAAAGCTGCTGATTTTTGACAACTCGATGGCTAACTCTGACGTAAGTAGTTCGACAGAACAATGTTTTGTTCCTGCTGGAGTTCACCTGACTCTATTGCCAATGCCACAAATTCACAATTGCTGATGGAATCTTCGTATATGTTGAGTGCAGTCTAGTCCAGTTCTTTATTCTATTGCCTTCTTCGCCTTGGTTTCCTCTCAAGCTGGCTGTGTTGAGTTGCAACTCTCTCTCTCTCTCTCTCTCTCTCTCTCTCTCTCTCTCTCTCTCTCTCTCTCTCTCTCTCTCTCTCTCTTTGTCTTGATCTATCTGTACCAGTGTTTTTATGGGCGCTGAAAGGCAGTGAGGAAGATGCGACGTGTAAAGCGGCGAGTCCAATGCACAGAGAGGAAGGGGAGGATGTGTAGGAGCAGTGTGAGTGGGAACGAGTCTCGAAGGGACGCGAAAGGGTAATATGTGGAATGAGTCTCGAAGGGATGCGAAAGGGTAATATGTGGCGCAGGAATGGGTATGTACATGCCATGGCTGGTTGCATTCCCCGATGAGGTGAGGGGAACTGAGAGGGATGGGTGATTGTGGGGAAAGGTCGAATATAAACAAGGAACTTCAGTGGAGTTCATCTAGTGAAGAATGTTCTGATGTCCCTTTTTTATCAATTTTAGAAGAAGTGCAGATCATGGACCCATTTTGCCCATGTTTTTTCTAGTGATGAACTTAGGGTCCTTCTGGGAGTCCTCAGAAGATGGGGTGGGTGCATTCCGTACCTACACAGCCAGAGCTGCAAAGGCATCTTGTCTCCCGGAATTTGGTTGCTCCAGGGGCATCGATAAGATCCCCGCTATGGTCGGGCTAATTGCGTTGTTTATTTTTAGATACAGGGCTGACTGTCTTGTGGTGGACACTTACAAAAAGGTTATTATTCTTTTCTTATCAAGAACTGACCTCCTGTAATTGTACATGCCCCCATTGCAATAACATATTTAGGTTCAGCCATTTGCTCATATAGTCTAACTAAAGGAGCCATCATGAAGTCCTTTCTTGGATGGTGCCAATCAGTTTGGGTTTATGAAATCAAATGGAATTTGGAAAGCGATCTTGACCTAGATACCCTTCTCCTTCAGCTTTCCATCCGTGTGTACCCCCACTGCCAGTCTATTGGCCAGCCTAATCACCCACCTACGGTCCATCTTCCCACCCATGTACCACAGCCTCCCATTCTCTGGTCTGTCTACCCCTGAGTCTCTCTATCCATCCATCTGTTCTTCCATCTGCCCAACTATTCTCATGCAATAATAATATCTCCAACTCCGCTTTGAATCGTGTGGCGATTGAAATCTACCCGAATCCCTCTGAACCAAATTGATATTCCTACCTAGATCACGCTGTTCAACCTATCGATTTATCCCGGTGGCACCATGTAGGCCCTCTCCCGAGCACTTTCCTCCTCGCCTCTGACCACAGTCGCATAGTTCCAAGTGCACTGAGAGCTCCAAGGACTCCTTGGGCATTTCACATACCCTAGTCTTGCTCCAGAAATCTTTTACCCACCTCACCTGCTACAGGCTTTGTGGACCCATGGTGACCTGATTGACACCCTCTAAGGCTAGTTGAGCTCCCAAGACTGCATTCAGAACCTCCTTGCAGCCGGACACCGCTGGACATCCACCAGATCTCTATGGTTATCCATTGCCATCTGTCAATCCTATGTAGCCATGGGATGATATCCACGCGATCAATCTGCCCATGTTCATGTGCGAGTGTTTCAATCCGTATCTCCCTTGCCTCACTAGAAACCATACCCATGCCGGGCGTCTTCACTCGTCTCTACATCTATGCACGTGTTGTTTTTCTCGGTTCCAGTGTTCCTTCTTTTTTTCCGTCTTCCTGAGTCGATAGGTCAGACTTCTCTATAGTGTTCCGTTACGTGGGCTTTGCCAGATATCAAACGATCAGAGTGAGGAGGACGCAAAATGTGGCAGTCGGGCAGTGGCTGCTTAGGTCCCCTGAGAAGGCATGCATATGATAGTGATTAGAGCATGGAGAGGGTAATATGGAACATGGTATGCAGATGAGAAAGACTTGGTCGGATTCAGAATGCAAAACTCAGCAAGCTTTTATACTGAGCTGTAGAAGTGCAAATGAGTCAGGGTTGACAAGTATGTGGGGAGCCTCCACGCACCGTAGATTCTTTTCCATGCACCGTAGATTCTTTGTTACAGATCAAGATGAAAGGCATCAAATTTACACTTTCCTCAGCAATGAACACTCTGCAGATACCTGACCACATCCGTGTGTCGCATGAAACTCTCTGTATTTCATTAGTTTGTTGTGTACGTTGAGCTAGCCCCGCCGGTGTCTCGTGAAACCCTTCCTAATAATAACTCCAGGGAGTCCAGGGCAAACTTTTGGTGTGAATAGGTTTCTCGTTGGACGTTGCCAAGTGCGGCCTTGTCAGAAGGACAGCAAACATCGGAGAGTTTTGCCGTGGACCCTTGTCACAGACACAGGTGCATGTCCTATTGTAGACCTGGAATGTTACCTTGATGTTTGATTGACGCTATCCCTGGACCCTAGCTTGTTGCTTCAGATTCCTCCGAAAAGGCAAGGCTCTGGCCAACACCCGTTGGGTGGGTATGTCTCACTGGAGGACCCTGGCTCCGAGGCCTGTATACGAAACCTTTGGTTCTTGCTGGGAATGCGTCTGTTAATTCAGCCCAAAGGCTGCAGGGTTGCATTAAGTATCAGTGTTTCTTATCTTGATGTCTGTATTTTTGTGAGCTACCGGTAGTCTCGTGCAATATGGATTCAAAACTAGTCGAAATGAGAGGGGTGTTGGCATGATACGATATTTACACTTGTAGCTTGCAAAGGAGCAGACTGTTTTGCCTGAATCCTTCTACATTTGGTGTGACACCTTTTGTTTGCCTGTTTCAACATGTGAACGGGGCGTTGGCTGAGGAACCCTCTCCTTGTTTCCTTCCAATGTGAAAGTCTGAAAGCTTGCGAATCTCTGTTTGAAGGTGAATGTGCAGGTTGAAGACATTGTTCCACCGTCCAATATGGCAGGTTTATCAGAGTACGTCGCCTCTGGAAAGCCTCTGGCAACAGAGGCAGCTATCTTGAGTGACGTTGGAACAGAAGATGATGAAACTGTGAGTGGTTACAGCAGTCCTGTGTCTGTTTGCCCTTCCTCTCCAGGGGTCCAACCTTTTGGCATTGTGTGGTGTGTTTGGGTGAGCTCCGTGTTCTTGTTGACATTGTACAGTTTTCTGTTACACGGCAGATAAATGTCGGTGATGACGGCGTATTTAATGCCAAAGAATCAATTCGAATAATATATTCTACCTTTCCTCGTTTTCTACCACTGTCGTTATGACCTGCATGTTTGCTGTTTGTGCAGCGGGCTTCTATGCTTTTCTCGTGGCTTAAGCTGATGTTTGGTGCCACTAGACCACAAAGACTCCAAACACAGTTGTTTTGTTAAGCTAGCCTCTTAAAGGCCTGGGACTATTTTGGGGCATTCGCCTGTACTGCTGGATTGAATGAATGAAGAGCGCAGATTAGCAAAATTGGCCGTTTGGTATTATCAGTGCAGGGGAATTGTTCCTTATATCTGAGTTCTGTTGGTGTGTTGTATTGCGGGTCAGGGTTTATGGACAGCTCGAGATGGTGATGGGAGAGGAGGGAATGGAAGCTCATCACGGACTGGTCGAGGATCATCGAACAGGGAGGGTGCTGCCGAGACAACTGGCGGGGGGGGTACTGTTGGAGGTGGGCTGTCAGGGTCTGCTGGGGGTAGTAATCCTGGTGGAGCAACACCTGGAGCAGTGCCGAATGGCCTCGGGAACTCTGCAGGTCCTGGTAAAAGGACCTTAAAGATGGGTGCGTATTGAATGTGCAAGATAACGCAGTGGTTGAAATGTGATTTTGAATGGTGAAGTATGCTAGAAACAGCTACTGTCTCCACCCGAATAGAATGCCCGGTCTTTACAGCGGTATTTGGGCCAGCATTCCGGCTAGATACGGCAACAATAACCGGGTGTTCTATTCGGGTAAAGCCGTTATTTGTCAAGGATGAGTTTATGAGGCAAACATGTGTATGTCTCCATGTCTATCCTTTTCAAGTTATTGAAGCCAAGGCAATTTTGTGGAGGACATGGTTTTGGATGTGTGGCCAGAGTGCTTTATGATTTTGCTAGGCTTCCGCAAGTGTTTGGGCACTTAACCACACAATGTGGCCAACCTTGCATCTTCTACTATCTTGCCTGTCTACACCTTTTTTTGCTTCATGGATTGTTTGAGACAAATTGTGGATGGAATGGGGCAGAGTGTTTAAAAAAAAAACACTATCCATGGCTGAGCTAGGAAGATTCCCATGACCGGCCGGTCACCCGGTCATCACGACCTTACCGGTCCCATGCCCGGGTATCCCAGTCGTAAAAAAAAAGGGCCCAGAATTTTTATTTTATTTTTTATTTTTTTTTGTGGGGTTGTTCCGCGGTCGGTCTGTAGACCCCAAATCCGGGGTCTTTTTTTTTCTGTGACTTCAGGCCTGGGG